AAATGAATTACAAAATTTGAGTTGAGTTCTACAAACGTATTACAAACCTAACTTAACATAGGTTTTTGATTCCACTTACTAGGAAATGATCATTCTCAAACAATGTTCTGGAAAAATTTAAAACGCCACGATTAATACAATATAATATAATATTTAATAAAATATTATATATATATCACACAAATCACTGCAATATGCCACAATGCTGCTAAATATATTCTTATGATAACGCTAAAAATTAATATTGGTCTTTATACACATTTAATGGGTAGCTGCGTTGACTGAACGTCAATAAAAGTTACGGTCCAGCCTCAGTATAATAATAATAATAAGAACATAATATAATATCACACGTATACGCACCTATAATATAATATATTGTACTCTCGATCCGACACTGCCACGAAAGGATTAATGTACGCGTATTTTCCCGTCCCGTCTTATCGAACATCATATATTATTACTATTATTATTATTATGAAGGTTACAGCTTTTTTCCATCCCTAGATTTATATAACCACAACCATTAAAATATATAGGTGGCCAAAAATAAAAAAAATTCACGTGGCGGATGGATCCATAACGTTTTTATTGATCGACTTCAGTAGTGATCACTTGAAGCACAAAACGATTACCTACTACAGCGTTAAGCATTTTATTTCTTGAAAATAACGTGCCGCCGTGCAATGTTCTCAATCATGTTTTTCGTGGTGAAATTATAGTTATACATATTATATATTACGAGCTTATTCTGCATGGCGTTATTGGTGACAAATTAAATAATGCCAACGGATTTATCTTGTCTTAAACTACATAAACTGTAAACTACACATCATATTTTTAACACATTCACACATTAATTGTGGTAGTTATGATAATATATAAAATACAGGTCTTAAATCATATATAATTATAATAACTATTTTATTTTCTGTAATCAGTGGAGACTCTGTATAAATAATTAAATACTTGTTTTCGCGAGACAGTCAATTCCTGTGATCTCCCTTAGTTAAAATGTCAAATTATAAATATTAACTTTGTGGTGTATGTTTCTGAATAAGGATAACATATTTATAGAATTTTAGAACCACGAGTATGATAGCTTTGCTATGATTCAATGACACACACAAATATTTTTATTTTATTAGTATGGACATTGGACAATTACGCAAATTTAATTGTATTATAATAGTATTACATTCACGTACTTAACGTTGTTAACATGTTTTATGATAATACTTTCATTTGAATATTTATGTACCTGTAAAAAAATTCTCCCTGAGGTGATGGACAATACCGATTTCGAATTTATCAACGTTCGATAAAGCTCTTTTTCATATAATATTATAATAAATTAATTAAAGTTTTCGCATAAAAGACTAAAATAATATACGTAATAGTACCATTCAGCTATAGACTTATATCGAATTATGCCAAGAACTTAGTTTATGTTTTATTTATTTTTAAAGTTTTCGTTTTTAATATCTTCAAGAAAATAATAGTAATTATAAAATATTAATTTATTATAGATTAAGTAGAAAATAATTTTAACAATATCATTTGTTGTTTTTAGAAATCGTATGCTCTTTGATGATATTTACAATAATAATAATTTATATTGCATTTAGAAATGAAAGGGAAGAGAGTATTAACAACAGGAGAACAATATTTTTCTACTTATTTTCATTTACATACAGTAATACTCGCTTAAGATGCTTTTCGAGGGATCAATTCTCTAGAGAGTCTTAAACAGGAAAGCCTTTTATGTGGGGATTTAACAAAAATCAAGTAGTTAAAATATCGATTTTATTTACATACTTGTACATACGCGTTATTATTTTATTATTAAACATAATTTAACAGGTAATACATTTATAAGTTAATATATAATGATTTTTTAGATAAAATTTATTTAAAAATAAATACAGTTATACATACACATCTTAATTATTATTTTTTTCTATTTTGTTCTTTTTTATTTATATCAATAAAAATGTCTAGTTTTGTTTTCTGGAGATTGTAAGAATGCATCTTAATTAGCAAGGAAGATTTTTATTTCATGAATATATCTCAATAGTCAATATTTATTATTCATTTTTATTTTTATTATTTCACTATTACTAAAATGTATCGATATCTGCTAAAATGGAGAAAATTTAAAGACAGTTTTCATATTAACTAGTATAGGCATCGTATTTCATTTATTTATTAATATTTTAGAGTACGGGTTGAAAGCCAAATATTTTATATAATATTATTAAAGCCAGTAGGTAATATAAAAATAATTTTTTTGTATTATAATAAATCAATGTTTCTATTGATTTCTGTTTTGTTTTGATTGAAATATATTATACGATCATAATTATAATATTATTTTATAATGTTTACTTCTTAATATTTTGTATATATTTTCGGTAATTTATACAATTAACTAACAGATAGATTCGAAAAATTTAACCTAAATATTTTTAAGATTGCTATTCATTTTTATGTGTTTACATAAAAAATATAACCAAAATTAAGAAAGCGAATCGTATTTGCATGTCATGAAAGTACTTAATCGTTATGATTTGATTCAAAGCATTTAATTATTTTAAGATTTATATATGTTTTCTAAAAATAATTTTAACATTACTTTATATCATATTTATACTAATTATAATAGTAATACAATTTGTAACTTATATCGATTGTTTAAATAATAATAAAAAAAAATATATCTGATTTTTGTTAGCTATATAAAAATAAGCTGTAAAAATTCTTCGGCGCTCAAAGAATCTATCGACATAACTTTTAATGAAAACGAATCATTATTTATGAGTCTATAAAGGACAATCTTGAGAATATTTATTTATATACTTACATCAATGATAAATTATAATAATTATTATTTTTATTGATTTTTTTTAACTATGTAGCTATACTATTTATATAATTCTAAAGCGGTGAGACTATTTTTTTCAAAAAACTAATTACTTTTTTTGACACTATTTATTATCTTAATGAAAAATAAATATACGTACTTTCAACTCCAACATAATTTCCACAAAATTTAGTGAACTAGTTGGTATCTATCTAAAATATTATTCTTTAAATAAAAAAACATCATAAAGTTTTTTTTTTTTTTTTTAATATTAAAATTATTCATTTTATTTATATTAAGTATGTAAAAAACTAAAATTAAAATTATTTTGTAGATATTGGTAAATGTAACACTTCAATAATAAAAAAAAATATATAATAATAATAAAATGGTAATGAAAAAATGTACAATAATTCATGTATTATATTTTAAATTTTAGTTAATTAAGTTCTAAATTAATATAAAATATAATATTTTACTATATAATAGATACATGGTTTTTAATTTTAATGAATGTTGATCTATCCTTACACTTATAAAGAATAATATTTTTCTCCAGAAAGTAGTAGGCGCTAATTAAACGTTTTAAAATAAATAAGCAGTTGGTTATATTTTATTTTGATTAAGAAGGAAAATGGTCAAGATTTGTTTTTTTTTATCAAGTGGAATAAATGGTGGAGGAATATGAAGCTTCATTTTTGAAGAAAAATTTTTATGCCCGACCAAACTGTTCACATATCTCTTTCAGAAACAAGATGACGTATAATTGTTATACATAAACCTAGGTGTGTGTACATGACATGACATATTTTAATATTTTAATAATCACTAACGAAGATTCTGTGGACCTATCCGAATCGAACCTTGTTGATAAGGCGATGATATTATTTACATTTTACATTAGCTATTTATCCAATATCATAATCGAGTGTAGCTAGCAGAAAGTGGTTGGTATCCATAATAATAAACATATATACAACTCAGTCAGAACGGAAAAGACGACGATGATGATGATGACTGAATTAACACTCGAGCCAACCTACCGGAAATTATGCTATTCTATCCTGATTATGTGAATACAATATTTGCTATAAATACATTGAGCGTACAATACACCGCTTATTATAGATGATATATATATTTCGAATAATCAATAATTTTGATTGGCTCCTGTTGCTTGTCACTAATTACTTCCGCCCGTATTGTTTTACATCCAGTCTCGGGACCACGTTGATGAGGAAGAACAACGATTTCTTATAAAAAGATGACTATAACGGGATGATGGGGTCATTCATGAAATGTTTATTTTTGCTGCTAGACCTCTTTGCCTGGTTAAACGTCTTTGCAAGTGAAAACAGTCTAAACTTTACCGTAAGACCAAAAAGTAAGGATTAATCATACTGTGTGTGTTTGGTGTTAACTGATTCACCCGTGTATAATAAGCACATATAAAACTTTGATTATTATTTCGTCATATGTTCAAACCAAGGTCTTTAAAACTTTAAATTTCCAGTAAAAAAATGTAAATTGTTGCGATAATATAATAAGAATTTTCATAATATGTTTAGTTTAATAATTTTTAAATCTAAAGACGATGTGTATTATATCAACCTTTTAAATTTATATTGATATACATATTAACTAAACATAACAATTTTTTTCATTAATTTAGTATAAAGATAAATTAAATTAAGTGAAAATAAATAATAAATTATATATTTTATAATGTTGAAATAATGTAAAGTGTATCAATAACATTAAGATGACACGGCGTGTTGATTAGGCGATTTCGCTACATACAACCATAATCAAGTCGTTAAATTTATAATTTTCTAGTTTCTTCTATTATGATTATTTTTTTTAATTGTATTTACTAAATTATTTTTTAATTAATAACTTAATCTAATTTTAAAATTGAAATACTGGCACATATATTACTGCGAGGAGATTTTATGTTTGCATATTATAATAATAACTTGTTGTCGAGTACGTTTTTTAATGAATACAGATAATTATTTCTGTGATAAAAAAAATGGGAATGACCGGAAATTATTTGGTAATTAATTAATACGTATTTCATTGAAAATAAATATATAGCTGTAATTAAATATATTATTAAAATTTAAAATTAGCTTACTGGATGGATCAAATCCCATCACATAATACGGGCACTGGGCAAAAGCAGTGACATTAGGTGATGTTTCTTCCCAGCACGCATAACCATCAAAATACCTTGGACACAATTTCTTTGTCGTGTTCACTGAAAATTATCGATGTTTTCAAAACTGAGTTGATAAAATCATTAAAAAATATGTTCTAACCTGCTGTTGCATTCGTTAAGCATTTTTGTCGAAGTTCCATCAAGAACAACGTATTTGAATCGTACACCTTGGATGCAGCGGGGTCCGACATTCTGAGAAAACATGAACAGATAGTATACATTACATATTTTTTTAATAATACAAATAATATTTTATTCCATTTTATTCATCAAAACTCATTGTCTAAGATGATAATCACACAAACATACAGATTAAAAATACAGGTAGATAAATAAGTTAATATACAAACGATAATCTTCGGTTGTGGTTTTGTGAAATTATAAATTCAACTTAATTATTTATACGTTTTTATTAGTATATTTATTTCATTTATAATATATTATAATATCTGTTTAAATAATGTCAGATAATGTAAAATTGTAATCTTTCAAAAAAATATGTGAAATATATTATATTTAAAAATAAATTGACATAGTATAGCCGGTATAGCTATAGACATTTCTTATATGATCACATTCTATCACGTTCAGAGCTATTAAAAAAAAAAAAAAAAAAAAACATTGAAATAACTAAAAACGTTTAACTAATTTATTATGAAAATATTAAATTTTGTATAACGACTAATATTAAAAAAAAATATTGTGATATTAGCTCTTGCTATTGGTCAATATGAATCATAACGTAGTTTTGTTAGGTTAACTTTAAATTCACATACATGTCTTACACCGATACTAAAATTGATCTTAGTTGGGATAAGAAAATTAACTAACATTAGTGTCTGGTTAATTTATTTTACCACATAAATGTACGCTTTTTCCATACCAATTATAATGTAATCCGTTTACCATAGGTTCTAAAGTGAAACCGATAAATTCAAGTTTTAAACCAAAAACCAAACACCCGAAATTAATCTGTGCCTATACTTGTCCAGTAATAAATCCAAGAACAGCTTATATATTTTAAAGTTGGCCGATGTTGTAAGTGTTAAAATAAAAACACGACACAAACATACCCATTCTACTCACACTATAATTAAGTGTTTATGCCTTTTTTGGAGTTGACAAAATATAAATCCACTGTGCGAAATATTGCTACTTGTCAGTATATACAGCTATAATAGTACTTTAAGTGACAAAAAACATGAAGAAACAAACTGTATTTAATAACTGTAGGTACGAATTTTCCCCTTTTATATGCGTTTTCTGATACTAACATTTAAAACTTGACTAGATTTTATGGTGTTTTGGACTTTTTTATGAATTGAGAACATTTGGGTAAAATTATGAAAAAAAAAAAAAAAGAGTGATAGAAAATATTTCACACCAATATGATATTTTTAATCATCGATATTATGTAATGCTATAAAAAAATTGAGGACAAAATAATAATTTTACAAAATATTACTTATAAAACAAATTCTATTCAATTTAAAGTTATTAATAAAATTTCAAATAAGGTGATAATATTGTATAATATTTTTAACTATCGTTTTAATTGTTGTTTAATTAAACAAGATGAACTTTAAATTACTCGTCGTATAAGTTTAAAATGTTATACAATTGTAACTTACCTCCAAGATATTGCATTCCATACTTTTAATTATTAATCACTCAGTACAATTGTGGAGTGTACAATAATAGTAAAAAAAATCAATTTATTTATTTGAAATATTTTATTTATTGTGCAAATCCAGATATTGTTTTTTTTTTAAATAAATTAAAAAGAAAATAATTTGCTTTAATAATACTTTATATTTGTAATTAAATACCATTCATACATTTTAATATCATTAGAAATTTAGCATTTTCAATATTGCTTGTATATTTGCTATACATTTTACAATAAAATGTATATTCTCTATTCTATCTTAAATATAATCTATCAGTTACTAGTGATATTTAGATTTTTATATTGATATTTTTAATTTATTTTAGAAAAGAATAAAATATTTATTTTACTATGCTGTTATTACTACCTATATTATACCCGATCATTCTTTATTTAGATTATTGTAAGTTAAAAATTTAGTTATCTAGGAGTTAAATAAGTTGATTTATACATTTAAACGTAAGTTAACACACTTTAATAAATGTTTACTACACCATTCGTAATGATAAGGAATATTTCAAACATGCCAGGAAGCATTAGTGTTGAATTTATAACTAAAATCTTAACTTAGTCAGATACATGAAAGTTTGTTGTTTCTCGTTTATTTTAAATTTATTATTAAACAGAAATAATTATATATGTAACGTGTACGTGAGTGTTTGGCAATGACACAATATTATAAATGGACATGTACTGCTGTTTAAATTTTGAACGAAGTTAATTTTATTGGGAACTTTTTTTGTACATTAAATTGTTTGTGATAGAAAAAATGGTCTAAAATATGTAATACATGAAGTTGACCTTACATTTAATGAATATTTTTGTTTTTCTTTGTCTTATACAAATCAATTTTTTGTAATCATAAGCATTTGTATTAATTGTTCCATATGATAAATATATTTTACATTCTTAAATGCATTAAATAAGCTAATATTTTAAATACAGATTTTAGAATAACATTTAATTGGTAAATATATAAATTCTAAATATGGTATACATTTTGGTTAGTTTTTAAAATCGTTTATATATTGTAAATATATAATAAATAATGAATGCAATAGTAAATCAGTGAAAGTAATATCCTTTATTTTTTAATATGAAGTAGAGTAAATTTAGGTGAATACTTAACATTTATATCATGCTTTTAGTTATTTTTCTTAATTCGCAAAAAGTTGTTTTATTTTAAACGATCTTGTAGTTTTTTGTCGTTACACTTAAAAAAAGTTAACGTATGATAATACACCATATGGTTTAAAATATTGTGTAATAATAACTAGTAAGACACTTTAATTTTAATAGTATAATATATTAATTTTATTTTATACCCTAATAAATTATTAAATTGCTTAGTGTTGTTAAAGCCATAGTAGGGTATTGTTTATAATATAAAACGTTTCTAAAATTAAATATGTTTTCGTATCATACAGATAATATGCGTGTGTAAAAAAAATCACTACAATTTAATAGTTTATATAATATGCATTTGTTATTTTTTATTTTAAAAGTGCTTTTCTGGGATATCGTAATACATAAATTATTTTAATTTTTAATAACATTGTTTGGTTTTAAATGAAATATCAGGGAGTTTTTACAACCTGTTGAACACAGGTATTTTTAATGAGTAATTTACATTAAACATAGAGATTATTTTTAAATAGAAAAAAAAAGATTTGATGATTATTTTTGATCATATAACATGAAAAAAATTACGGTAAATTAAAATTTATATCGTTTTAAATACTTTCGTTATTGGTTTTCAATATATTATTTTCTATATAATAATATGTAACGTATACAGATATGATATGGTCGTGAAACGTCAGTACATGAATTGTGACGTAAAAATTGTCTAATTAATTTTAAATCTAGCGTGAGTTTGGTTCAGCTACTATTGTGATATTATAATATAGCTAAAATTTAAGGTTAAGAATAATCAAATATTTAAAAACTATTTCCCGCTAAGCTGAATAATCCTTCTTTTTATTTTATAGCCTACTGGTATATTAATAAATTCAGTATAACTTATACTATATTCTTTTTCAGTTATAATATATTATTATAATTTTGAAATAAAAATTAAGTTGACTCTGTTTATAATAGCTCCTAAGAGTCAAAGTGAAGCACTTAAAAACGATTATGCTATACGAAGTTAAGGATAAATTATAATCTTACCAACATATAATTATATATAACAATAAGAGTTATACTATAAATGTAAAAAAAATATTTTAATTTCATAATTTTTTTTTTTTTTTTTTTTAATACAAATTGCTACTTGGTGAGTGTGAAAATATACGTACCTAATTACGCATTTATGCATTTATGCATTTAAAAAAAAATTCAAAAAAATCAATAAACAGAATTTTCTCAATGAATTAAAACTAAAATATCACGAATTAATTGTACGTTTGTTATCAGACACACCATATGTGGACAGATAAGAGAGCTAATCATAAGAAAGAAAGAAGAGTTTTCAAGTGATTTCGAATAGATTTTTTTTTCTTCTGGTTGTAGTAAACATTCCCGATCGAGTGGAAAAGTTTCTCAGGCGGGCAATGTGAACGAGATAAACGATGAGTCCATATTACATACTACAAGGGGCGTGGTTCAAAACAAAAAAAAAAAACCTGATAACACCGCTGGGTTATTCACACGTCATATCGTCAGAAAATAAATGTACGCAAACTTTATAGTAACTTGAAAATTGTTCATTTTAAACTATAAGTACGTGATTAAGTCTTATGAAAAAAATGTGTTGTCGACACACATATTGTGTGCATTTTTATTTTTTTTATTTAACTGGATGTGAAATATGTATATTTTTGTGTTATGGTTTTATGAGAGTTGTTTAAAATCTTTAATCTCAATTATATCAAAACACAGTATTTTAGGTAAGTATATACAATAATGTTTGGATGGTGCAGTGTTTAAAAAAAAAAAAAAAAAATATAACATATTATTCTTAGTTTTTAGTATGCGCATAGTGTATATTATATTTTTTATGTATTATATTATTGCGATAACAATGTATATATCATATTAACGTGTGTTTATGTGTTGTGTGTATGTGACGTGAGAACGGAGCTCGAAATTGGTTATATGTATAACATTGCTCCTCCGATATAACAATAATATATTAATACGCCCGTATGTTGTGAAGTTTAGGTCATGTACAGTGCTATTTATGCCATTGATTCATGGTACATAGTATTTATATTATAGAAAATGTTTCCGATTCAACACTATATTAATATATACGATCAGGCTTAACCCGTCAGATTTTCTATACATAATGATATAATGTGCGATTTATTCACGTCCAATACACGTACGTGCGGTCACCACTCTGGGAACGGATGTTGTTGTCGTTGTAATGATATCGTCTACAATAATATATAATGTTATATCATTATGCACACTGTTGTAGCAGTACACATTATAGAAACTGAACAGTAACAGAGGTTTCATACGTTTTAACGTCGTCGTCCCGCAGAAAATGAAGAGGATACGGTAGTATGGTGTT